CAGCAGGATGCATTCATGCATATTATTCTAAAATTGTGTTGTTTTTTTTTTCTTCGCCTGGCACCAGCAGCAGCAGCAGTGCTTCTGCCATTTCGATTGAGGTATTCGTTTTTGCTGTTTCACTGTTCATATGAAATCGCCTTTAAGGTTGGCCTGTACTATAAAACGACAAGCCAAAGTCAGCTTCTCTTTTTTTGGGAGATTGATTTAAATTTATTGCTCGTGGTTTTTCATGTGAATGCGATGTTGCGCGCTTTTTCGCATCTTTTTCTGCAGCCTCTTTGCGTGTTGCTGCTGCTGTTGCTGCTTCTGCTGCTGCTGCTTTTTTTGGTCTGATGCATTCAGATACACATTTATGCAGAGAGTTATACAATTTTTATATTTATTGTCACATAATTTTTGCGCTATTGGCTCCCTTTGCGGATTCGATTTGACATAAAACGATATTGCCATTGCCATTTCGATGAAAAACCACTGGCTGCCATCGAGAGAGAAGAAGAAAAAATCAATCGAGACTGGCCGCATTGAGGATCGAAATGTGAAAAAAAAACATCACATTGTGTGTATTATAAATGGAAAAGACACTAGCCGGTAGAAATGGCTGACAAAATTATACACACACAAAAACAGACTGAGAGAGAGAGAGAGAGATAGCCGACATCGTCGTTATGTCGCGCATTTTGTTTCCGAGCTGCTCAGAAGCTGTTGCACTCCAAACAAAATGACAAAACAAACAAACCAACCAACGAAACCCAACGAATGAACGACACACACGAATCAAGAGAGAAAACGAATTGAAACTAAAACAAACTACACACAACGCACATTACAAACGCGCGAGACAGGAGGAGACGCAGAAGAAATCAGAAACACGCAAATTGCGTACAGGCTCGCTTACAAATGGAAAAGTGTTGTGTTGTTTTAATTTCCATTCATCTCATATGTACAGAAAATTACACAACTGTATTGTCAATTTGCAGTGGCTAAAATGAACGGCGTCTGCAACTGCCGCCGGTCTTGACGTTCGACATTAGAAATTCATCGTTTTTATCGGGAATTGTTAATTTTGGATAGAACATCAAGAAACTGAGAGGCAAAAAACTTCGAGGTTGAATTCGAACGATTTCTTCAAAAGACCATCGCTCAATATTTCAATTCGTTTCAAGCAAGTTCATTCAGGTCGCAGGCGTTCATTATACGCAACATTTAGTCACTGCGCGATGTTGGCAAAATGTCGCTTATCGCCGTTGTAGTACTTTGTTCTTGTTCTTTTTTATTTAAACTCTGTGTCTACTTGTGTGCTTGATTCTTAAACCGTGTATGCGTTCAACATTCGGTTCGCTCCATAACGTATTTCATACGCATCCGAAATGGGATTGGTTTACTGTTTGTTGTTTGTGCCAACTGCCATCAGTAGTCGACCAAACGAAATGGTTCGCGATACAAGGGAAGTGAATTGTTGCAGAGAGACAAAACCAAATGGGAAATACCAATGACGATGAACGCGACAGAAAGCATCGAACAAACAAACAAAAAAATGGCTTGCAAGTTGTTCGTAATCGCAACAAAACGATCTGAAATAATAGAAGCGCAATGCATTTGCGGTCCCAAGTAGATACGCAAAAACATCATCTTGGTATTTAAATGATTATTTAATTGATGACTTTTATGGCCTTGTGTTATTCCAATGAATGTTTTACCCAGATGAAATACAACGCATCATCATTCCAGCTTGCGGTTGACAAATATGTTGCGTACGTCAAGTTAAAAGTTGGAATGAGCCGAACGAAAAAAGAACAAACAAACGAAACAGCAACGACAATCGATAAAAGTAAAGCATCGTCAGCATTGTGAGCAGTCATTGACTGCTATATAAAAAGCGATCCTTTGCTAAAAATCCGTTAAACGGGTGGTTTACGACCTAATTTCCAACTTGATTGACATTCCATTTGAAAATGATTAAACATTCTATGACTAATTTTGCCGACGTCCTAAAATGACGACATAACAAATTTCCGATTAAATTGACTGTACTCTTGATCAAATCTGAATTTTGATTGAAAATGAATTTAAATGTAACGAAACAAGAACACCGAAAAAACCGAACCATTTCGAATATTGTCGAATATTGTATTGGATTTTACGTTTTATGCCAAAATTCCCCGACCCAAGAGAACAGCTACATAGTTTGTGTTTGTCGTTCATTAATTGCTTGTTATCGCACTGTGTGTCAGACGACGTTCGTTAGAGATAGTGAAAAATTTGCACGCAGGTCAAAACACACAACATACATACACACAAACCGAAATGAAAAAGAAGTTTTCGGAAAGGCGTTTGGCTTCTGGTAACATTTGCCGCATTGGTTAAATAATGATTATGGGCTTCTTGGTTGGGGTTTTGCATAATTGAGAACAACAAGATCAGCTACATCATCTCGCTTTCGAGAGGAAGAGTTTTTCGATATCCCAGTGTTAAAAATGCATCAAATTTTTTTTTATTTTAAATGAAGACCTAACCATTTACAGACACGCCGAATGGAAATTAATGAAACGATCGGAGTAGGCGCGTGGATACGATGCAATAAATTATCAGCGAATGAGATGGAATGTATACTAAAACGAAACGAAATCGACAATATTTTGGAAGTTTTGTATCAAATAATCGTCGGCATTGAAACAACAAATGATAGTCGGAACGGGGAAATTAATACAACCGATGTGGTGAAACATTTTGCGTTTTGATGGGAGCATAACGAGCCATTTGCCCTGTAATGATATGTAAATCAGGAGGAGAGAAAAATAAATCGTTTCCGCGATTGGAACAAATTTTTCGTGGGCTTTTTTCTTTCTTCTTAAATAGCCCAATATTGTTTACGTTTGTTAAACGGAAACGTCGCTCAATAACAATGCAAATGACCACGATGTGGTGTTCTATTTACAGCTTTTTTCATTAAATTGAATCGATTTCATCAGTTATTCGATTCACACACACGCGCGCGCGCACACACTTACGCTCAACTAATTAGTGTCATTCGAATGCAAGAACAACTTGTGTATGACAATCAAAGAAGATTTTGGAGTGAATTTATACATCGTTTCGATGAAAGAGTTTGTGTCCGACCGTCTATTGTGCTCCCACAGATTGTGTTGCACAAAAATGAACCAACATTTTCGGGCAAATGTCCAAATATGGATATGGGTGACGTAGAATTTTTCTCAAGGTCAACACCGTTGAATGTGTGTGTGTGCAGTGTTTCATGTGATTTAAATGACACCCGCTTAAAATGCGGATTGTTAGAATGTGCAATGTGCATGCATCTCGGCATCACTTGCAAATGCGAGAAGTAAAAAATCACGTTGCCTCAGCCGAATGAAGCGACACCATGAAAGCCAAACATAAATTTACGCTTTAATCGAAAGTTGTTCATTAGTTCGATTAATTATAACATAGGTGCAATTAGTGACTGTCACCGACCTAACCGGAGCACATTGTCGATAAAATTGCATTCAACATCGAAAAATAAGTAAATGAGAGCCTGAGAACAAAGGGAATGTGAGTGCAACACACCGCACACTTAGACAACAACAATAACAGCAACAGCGACATCAGCAGGAACAGCACATGTGGTGTGTGCGCAAAACCATTTGTATGCACTAAGTCAATGGTACTTAAATAGTCGCGTGAACTCAAACAATTTAACAACGTTCGGTCGATTTTGCGTTAAGTGGACTCGGCCGTTGTTGTGCACAATCCATTTTCTTGTACGCCGGCGTGCATTTCCACCTCAATTAATCGCATCGACGACGGGACGATTGTGTGGCTGTGTGAATGTGTATGTGTGTGTGTGTGGATGTGACGAATCACACACAGTTTTTCCATGTTTATTGGCAATACGCAAAGCAGCGTAAGCACATCTCTCGCCATCAACACTTGTTGTGATTTTAATTTGGTATCCGTGTTTGCTTTTCGCGCATCGTCGGCAAAGTATTTGCTGCGGTCGAAAACATTTAAAACCATTTATCAATTTGTACGTAGACATCGAATTCATCTTGCCTTTTTCTTGTGCCGCTGATGCGTGCAATTGTGCCGGGATGCGTGCGCGCGTCTTCGTGTGTGCAGTTGGAAACTTCAAAAGCAACACATTTAATTAAATAAATTTCCGATTGAAATGCTATGAATGTTCGATTGAGACGTTTGTGCGGCTCTTTGCGCCTTTTGCCCATCGCATCGCAGTTGGCAGACGCGCTTCTGTTATTATTATTGCACAGCCCAGGCGATGTCATCGATTAAGTCAAAAATTTTGTACACATTCATTTATTTCTATATACTTAAAAAAATAATAATCATTTGAGCAGCGCAGAGAAAACAACAACCACGGCGCGTGCATCATTCCGTTGATGTGTTCAATCGCCACCAAATGTAATGCCACATAAACATTTATAAAATGCACCATTCAATTGGCCTACCCGATAATTTTCGCGTGCTGTTTTCGATTTTACATTTGTACAAATTGCATGCGCACATCGAAAATGATGAGCATGCTAACTATGCACGGATTGATGAGCACACAGACACAGTCGACATTTTGCCATTTCGTTGCGTTTCTCTGATTTATCGGCCGTTTTGTATGACTTGAAACCTCGGTTTTGTATTCGGTTTGGGTTGGATTTTTTTTTCTTCTCTTTATTTAGCATAAATTTATATTCTTTAATTTACAGAAGAAGGAAAAAAAAGAAATTAACCCATTACATCGTTGACTTTTAAAAGTCAAATCGCTGCATTTAGTCAGTCTGAGGGATCAGTCTTGGCTTTGGTTCACGGGCTGGATATTACCATATCATTTTTCAACGTGTTGAAAAACGAAAATATTTTTATTGTTCCGAATAATGAAAATTTATTTCATTTATTACGGTTTAATTCATTGGACTGAACAGAAACATACAAAAATTATTGTTCCATTAAAATATTTAATTTTGTTTCGGTTTTTTTTTCTCTTGTAGATTTCATTCGAAGACAATGGCCCAGGATACTTTCATCGTATAATTTGCAACAAGTAGTCATCAAGAACTTAAACCATTTATAACCCATTCACAAATGTGCTGAGAAAAAAGAACTATAGCCGCAAAATATTTTGGACACAATGCAGAAAAACTGATGACGCCTTCAATTTAGCTAGTTAAATAACAATTGAGCGACTGTGTTGTTGTTCTTCTTCCATTCATTTATACAAATAAATGATTTTCTTCGTTCGTTGCGTAATTTATTGAATGTGATTTATTGAAAATAACCTGAAAAAAAAACGACAAAATAAAAATGCTTAAAGAACTCCCATCAACTGATAATTCATCACCGACAGCCGATCATTGCTGTGGCGGTTGCGGTCGTTCCATTCGTGATCGGTGAGTGAATCAATTTTTCATTTGTTTTTCCTCAAAAATTTGAGCGAATGAAACATTTTTTTTTGCAATTTTAAATTGCAAGTTCAGTTTCAATTCCACATTTCTCCATTATTGTTTTCTTCGGAAGCAATTTTTCGTTCATACGAATTGAAAATCTAAATTTTGTTGCATGTTCAAAAGAAATGCTAAATTTGAATGTCAAAAATGTGATTCCTTTCCAGATTTTACCTATTGGCTGCAGATCGATCGTGGCACGGTTCGTGTTTGCGATGCTTCCGATGTTCCCAGCCTCTTGATTCTGAACTCAGTTGCTTCGCTCGTGACGGAAATATTTATTGCAAAGAAGACTATTACCGGTAATTACATGATTGAAAATTCGCTTACATTTCATTTTGAATAAGTGCTTATAGCTTCCAAGCGTTGTGTTTTTTGTGTGTCAGTCAATACATGTGATGAGGGGGATGTCATGTTTTCGTGACGAATATAAAAAGAAAAGCCAAAACATCGGCAGTCAATGCCACACCAAATAAATTTTCTCTTTTTCGGACTTCACTTAGAAAATGCGATAGAAATCGATAAAATAAACATTTCACTTTGATTGACTGTCACTTGGGTAAACAGTTCATAATTTTTTTTCTATTTTTTCATTCGAAGCGGTCAGAAACAATTGTCGAGACTTTGTCGACGAACTTTGTTTTCTCGCTTTCGTTTCGCATTTGGTTGGGGAATGAACGCATGACATCATATCGGTTGTGTGCATATCATTTTAAGAAAGTAGAAAAGTGTCAACACCAAATGTCTCTTTCACATGAAGTGCATGAAAGAAAATCCAACAGCCCACACTTCGGGGCCCCATGGTCAAGTGAGTAGGTGTTTTTTCTTTCGTTGTTGCTGTTGTGCACGACATTTATGAGAATCGAAATACGTCAACATTAAACCAATCAGAAGAGACTCTTCACTCAATCAGTGTATAGTTAACGAAAATGTTTTTCGAAGCGGCCCCGGCGATGCGATCAAATGAGCTCACCTAGCAACACAAACACCAAAGTGGTTGACAATTTGTCCCTTGCTCATGCAACATAATGAGCACTGTGTCAGTTGACAACACGGGAAAATGATTTTGTGTCGGTGGCAACAGTGGCGATGGATTCACACAGTGGGTGAACGAACAATTATCAAACAAAATCATAATTTGTATCGAAAATTCCCAACTTTTCGATCCTTTTTTGACAAAATTCAAGAATTCAAAGTAAATTCTTCTGGTAATTTTATTTTGGGGTCGAACGGATGTAAAACCTTCATTGACTTTTCGATCCTTGGTTGGCCATTTTGCAGGTGTAGTTTTTGAAATGGGTCTTTTCTAGGGGTTTCACGCAAACTCGAAGGCCGAAGATTTTACTAAATAGCTGGAAATAAAACCATTTTATGTGTAAACTATAGATATTGCTTCTTTTTGTTCATAAACTCGAATTTTTTAGAATTTTTTGAATCTAAAAATTCTGGAAGTGGGTTTTGGTGGATCCTCAGGATTGTTCAAAACCGCTCCTGGTTCTGGAAGTGGATCCTCAGGATGGACCAGGGCATTGTCAAACCCAGTCTGATCCATCCTGAAGATCCACCAAAACCCACTTCCAGAACCGGGAGCAGTTTTGAACGATCCTGGGGATCCACCAAAACCCACTTCCAGAACATAATTTTCAAGGTGAATGTTGAAATATTTCGAAATAATACGGATTTTGGTGAATCCCAGAGAATTTTAGAGAAAAGAGAGAAATATTGAAATTTTAGATGAATTTTAAGTTGCGTGAAACCCCTAGGGTCTTTTTGTTATGTCGAATACCGGTTCGATACATAACTCAATTTCATTTGATGGTTCATTTTTTTTGTATGCATATGCCAACCAAATTGCCGTTGCTAGTGTCGTGCATTTAGGCTCCAATGTAACACATTGTGATTTGCGAAACGTGAACGCGAAGTAAATTTCCGAAACATGGATGCACAGCAGAGCAAAACAAACGAAAACAACAACAAAAAATGGAGAAGAAAAAAAAATTCGAGTCGAACGAGAACAAATCATGAGCTTTTTTAATCCTTGATAAAACTGTTGTTCGCCAACTGGACTTTGTTTTCTCGTTAGAGAGATTTGTTCGGCAGACAAACTTTTTGAGCCGAAAAAAAAACTGGCAAGAGGAACAACAACAACGAAACGAACAGAAAAAAAAAATCGGCAACAATGATACGAAAAATGTGCGAAAACATGTAAAAAGCATCGGGCAAATAGGTAGAGATGGTTGAAACAACAATTCGAACATTTTTCAACAGAAAGAAGTCAACGAAAAGAAACCATCGAATCCCGAGACAGAGTGAAAAAGAGGGAAAAAATAACAACAGAGAGAGAGAGAGGTAGAGAGAGAGAAAAGGAAAATGAAATGAAACAGCGAAAAAAAAGAACGGGAAAAAAGTTGCTACGAAAATGTTAAACGCTTAGGTAAAGAGCAAATACAAGCGTTGTGCATTCATTTCATCTTTTCGCATTGTTGCGATTGTGCAGAAGGGCTTCGGAATCGGACAGACGTAGTATTTCATACGAAATTGTCGTTTTACTTGGCAATTTTTCGCTTCTGATAATCGGAAATGTGCGTGAGTGTGTGTATCCCTCGCTCGTTCTTGGCGTATGCGTCAGTGTACGTTGGTTTTGTGCTTCATCTTTTTTCTTCCTTTTTTTGCAGAATGCGACCAATGCCGCGCGCGCACCGATAAAGAATGTTTGTTTCATCGAAAATGTTCTCGTTCACTTTCGATGCTAGTCGCCTTGCCAACATTTTCGTAGCGAACTATTTTGCTGTGTGACGGTGCTTGAAAAATGTCCGCCGATTTATTTCGGAAATTTGGTTGAAATCGCAAAAATCCGCTCTGCGATAAAGTTTGTATTTTTTTTTTCCAGCGCGTTCTCTCTCCCTCTCACACTCTGTCTCCGAACATTTTGATATTTTGTGCAATGAAATCCATGTGCGAGCGTTATGTGCTGCATTTTTTGTGCATGTCGTCTTCAATGCGCTCATTCGCTCGCTCGCTCGGACTGTATGTTCTGCTTCGTGGTTTTTTTGTATGATTATTTTTTCCGTAGATGTTCATTTTCAAGTTGCGTTTGTCGATGCTGATGCTGCTGCTGCTGCTGCTGCTGAGAGTGCATTTCGACGATTGCGAGTATAGTCATTTGGTTTGCACAACGTACAAAACAATAAAATTATAAAAATTCTCTCTTTTCAATACAATGCAAACGGTTTTTCCAGATAAAAGATTCTTCATTGCATTCATGGGATTCATTGCCGGAGCACCGCAATGCTTGCATGCAAACGGGCTAAACGATTTCTATGCATTGTTTATTATATCGATTTTTTGTTTCGTTTTTTATTTGATTGTGGTTTGTAGGCTCGCCTTTTCGCTAGTATCCATCCTTTTCGCACTTGTCTTCCGTGTGCGGCCCGGCCCGTCTGTGTGTTTGCATTTTTTTTCCTTTCCTCTCGCATCTTCTGTTTGTTTGATCGGCCACAAACAAAATGGCCAACGTCAAAATAAAAGGCGAAAAACACACGTATTTATTTCGAATTTCGAATACAAAAGACGCAAAATAAATTTCAATATAAATATAAAGCGTAAAAAATAAATACACAAAAACCAAATGAAGAAGCAGCGTAAATCTGAAGTGAAACCGACGAAAAATACAAACAATATTCGATCAGAATAATAAAGTGTACACACGAATGCAAGCTGATCTATGGAAATGCTTGAAAATATAAAAATACAATGCTCAATGCATAAACAATCATTCGATGCAGCGCTGGACAGCTTATCGTTCACATGCATGTGCAAAATAAAAAAAAACCACGAACGAATGATGTTCGCTTTGAGGAACGAATGATTTCAAAAGCAACAGAAAATGTGTATAATAATAAATTAAAAAGGTCATTGAAAGTTTAAATGGCGAAAAAAAGCAACAGATAAACGGAAAGAAAGAACCCTTTGACAAGCCGAATGAAAAGCACGCACAAAATATGACCTCAATGAATGAAAATGCAGGCCCAACTCTGACTTTCGAAATTTGAATGAAAAACGACAGATAATATTCCATTTAACTAAATGAAAAAGAATGGGCCTGGCAAATGCGCGACATTTTGTGCAAAAGGTATATGGCAACAGAATGAACAACACATACACACACGCAAAAGAACACAAAAAAATTGTACGGAATATTGAATAACAAATAAAAAGGAGTAAGTTAAGCTGCTGTTGAGCGCCCGTGTACGCGCACAGCGCATACACAGAGAATGTTATCAGCGAGTGAAACAATGCCAATGAAAATTGTATGTTGCCATTGTCCATTTTTTTCTCTTCATCTGAATTGAATTGATTTTGGGAATCCATTATTCATGAATTTAAACATGCACAGTGCACACAGTGCACACACCGCACGAAATGCACACAAGGAAAAGGCATGAAAAATGGACACAACACAAACATTTAATGGACACTTTTACTCACGAACCATATTTTTTCTCCCTCCAACAGTCGAATCAGTTTGCGTCAAATTTCCATTATGACATGATTTTCTCTCCAATGATAATAATTTATCTTGATTTGGAAACAACAACAGCGAAAAAAATCGTGAAAAAAAGAATTGAAATCGAATTGAAAAAAAAAATGATGTTTGTGAGCATTTAATAGGTGTGAACGAATGAATGCCAACAATAACTCGGACAATTTCGTTTTAAATAGTGTGAACCAACAGCCCAATTGATTGCAGTTGCATTTTTGATTCGCTGTCACTTCGATTGTGCTCGGTCTAATTATTGTGTCGGATCCGATTTAAGTGTTTGCCATTCATTGAATCGGTCTGTCTATCGGTCGTATAACATCATTGATGCGCTTTTCATGTCCTCCCATGAATGAATCGTATAAAGCAATTGTGTATACAAAAAATTACAATAGATCGAAATCAATTTTCCCCCGATAAATGAACAGTAGCTCATCAAAATGTGTTTATTCATTAAAATGTTCGCGTCTCTTAGCCGCTTTCAAAGATCGATCTGAAAAGATTTGTAGTACAGAACAAAAAAAACACATGTCGAAATTCAAAGCTTTCTTCAGCCTACACGATAAAAGAAAAGCCTCTATTTTCATTATAATTTGCTTTGAAATATTGTGTTTGCTATCATAAACCAGCCATAAACTACTCAAAATGCAACAATCAAAATTCATTCCCACTTTTTTTTCCCGAAATGAACGGAGCATAAACAATAAATATTAGAGGTGAATGAAGCGCCTCGGCCATAATCAAACTCTCGCTCACTCGCCCACTCACAACAACAAATGAATCATGATGTAACTTATTGATCATTTTATGCGAACGGTGTTTGAAATTACTCACGCTTCCAACAGCGAATAAACGTATCAATTTGGCTGATATTTCTGTGTATCAAATCAACAAATTGGTTTTGATTACTTTACATATTTCTCGATGCTGGCGCACCGTGTTGCATATGGGCGTTATAATCGTTCCTTTTATTCTTCTTCTTTTTTTTCATCTTTCTTTTGCTAGATCAACGTTTGTTGTTTGACATTTCAAATCGATATAAATATGAATTCATTAATAGATTTCAATAAATTTTCGATTCATAACCAATTAGTAAAAAACGCTTCAATCCTAGAAAATAGACATGGCATCGTACCATAACCTCTAGATGGCTCTGGTTTTGGTTCGTTTATTGCCAATAAATATAAACGTCAATGTTCGATAGCGCGGATATGATGGAGCGCGCAAGTGCGCTGCTTGATATTCGATATACATATGGACAGGTGTATTTCATATCAATGTTCAATCATTAAAATGTCAATAATTTGAATAAATCACCGAATTTCGTCTCATTCAAAGGAACTCGCATTTGAAGCGATCATAAAAACGAATCCCATTTCTCTCGATGGGAAACTGACAGCATCAAGACCATGAATTGTCATTTGCATTTGTAATTTTGAGTGGACGCGAGAGAAGAATCGTGGGTTTTTTTTCAAATTTTTATGATTCAAAATTGGAATAACAAATTTGGAATCGTTATTATTTATTTTTCTCGGGCTAATGCCCGAGTAGCGGCACGGTTTTTTTTTGTATTGTTCTTTGGCAGAAGCTGCCCTTTTCCAGTGCGCAACGCATTTTTTCATTCTTCTTCTTTTTAATCGAAAATGCAATACGATTTCGATTTATTCCTTATTTATGGTTATTTCAGCAACGAAAACTGAGCGAGTGAGGGAAAGAGATATATATTCGTTCGTGATGCGTCCATTTTCCATTTCATTATTTTTTTATTATCATCATCGATTATTTGGTCATGGGTTTGCTTATTCGTTCGCGTACACATTCCGTGCTCTGCTTTACTTTTTTCGCTGCTGCTCTTGTTGTTGCCCATATTAATCGCTGATTGTGTGGATAATGTCTTGTGCATTTAATACTTTGACCGTTTTTTTTCTCTTCATCTCTCTGTACTGTTTCTCATTTTGTAGATTGTTTTCATCACGACGATGTGCCCGATGTGGTACGGGGCTCAGTTCATCGGAATTGGTAATGCGTGCACGAGATTTGGTTTTTCATGTTGGCTGTTTTTGTTGCATACTTTGTGGACAGCATTTAAGTGCCGGCGATACAGCAGCTGTACGAGGCGGACGCGTATTTTGCAGTGAGCATTATGATGCTGATGTTTTAAGGTAAAAAAAAGAAAAGAAAAACATACACACACCAAACCAAAGGCAGCAAGAAGAAGAAAAAACAAGCTGGCTTGTACAAACCGAACAGTTTTGTGTTTCTGTTTCGTTTTCTTCTTTTCGTCACACACAAAAAAAACAACCTTTGTCTCCATTTCGTTGATCGCGAAATTTATTTCAAGAAATCAACTCATAACGGTACCGCATCAATTTCAATGATTGCCGTCTCGTTTTGACTTCTTTTTCCTTGATTTGAATCAATTTTATTGTTTTGTGTATGCGTTTTTTCTTCGTTGTGCCAACTAATTTGTATAATCTTTTTTGTTTATTCTGTGCGCACAGCGAATCGAATTCACTATCGCCACCATTCTTCACCGGCACCAATGGCACAGCACAAAAGGGTCGACCACGAAAACGTAAACTAATGATAAATCACCATCAAAATGATCCTCTTAATTTAGGAACGGCAATGCAAATGGGTACGTATACTTTACTATCAATTTTTAATATCAAAACATTGCTTTTCTCCATTCCTTTTTTCCCCCCTTGTTTTCTTGCCAATTTTTCTCACCGATTTATTCGATATTCGTCGTTTGATTTTTTAACCACAATTTCGAGCATTAAACAATAACGTAGAAAAAGAAGAAAATTAGGCGATTTTTCGAGTGCGTTATGACGACAAACAATAGTTAACATGTATCTTGTATTGTTCGTGCGCTTATCAGTTGAGAAAATCACACATCTTTTTTTCTGTTCTCTCTGTCTATCCATAGCTAGTTCATTAAGAAGCTCATTGAAATGATGCTGAGGTTGAGTATGTACTCAAGTGTGGTGTGTTACAACAAATAGGGGCTTATTTATAGAGAGATTCTCAGCCGCAACAGAAATACCCGTAAAATGAAAACCGATTCTTTGTTTTCTTTCTCAGTCTTCGTAAAAGAGAAGGAGAGAGATGGTTCTGTCTTCGTATAAGAGAGAAATGGAGAAAAAAAAGAAGTGAAAAAACATTGAATCGACAACTTTTGGTTGCGCTGCAAAAAAAATGTTGTTGTTGTCACTGTCGCATAGTCGCATATTAGATATCTGTACGGAAACGTGACTTCTTCGCAGATTAATTTCACCACTTTTATTCCATTTTATTTAGTTGGTGACGTTGTTTTCATCTCTCGATTTCTTACTTTTTTCAAACATCAAACAATGGACACAGAATAGAGGCAAGAGTGACAGAGAGACAGAGAGAGAGAGAGTGAGAGGGAGAGAGAGAGAGACAGAGAGGAAGATAGAGAAAAACGGAAAGAAAGGAACAAAGCGCGAGATGATGAAGATTAACTGCAAAAACTTTATTTTTGCAACCTCGCTGCTCGATGCGCGCACAACACAACATCGAGTGAGACAAGATCCTTTTCACTTTTCGCTAGTCAAGCACGTAAAATGAAAATGAAACTCATGGTTTTTTTTTTCGTCGAGACAACCACGCTGAGGCTGAAGGGAGGCATATGTATATTTGGGCTCTGTGCTATATTGTTTTTATATTTTGTCTTACTATTTATGAAAAAGATCACATCTCAGGCGCGCATTTTCGTTGCAGTCCACTCTCAATGTTGTGTGCAGCATGTTGACTTTTCACAAAACATTCCACGCGGATGAGAATGAAGGAAGGAAAAAATGGTACAGCTGAGACACACAGAGAGAAACAGCAAGACGAAAAAAAAGCCACAAATAAAAATATCGAAGAAAATCGATAAAACTGACGGCCTGAGAAGAAAAACCTTTCCTACAAAACCTGTGCGCAGAACACAAACACAGAAATTTTTTAGTCAAAAG